TCCAAATTTTAATTGATTGACACCAAAAAAAAATTGCAAACGTGCATTGTTGTATTTAAGGCGCAAACGGTATCGTTTTTTGTTCTGTGGTATCGCTTACAATGACAGGCTTACGGGAATACGGTAGATCAGACGTACGAGCATGACATCATAACCAAGTTTCAAGAAATCCCGATCATACTGACATTAATCAAACTAAAAACGTATAATAATCCACCTGCTCTCAGTCTAAAAAAAAGAATCCACGCTTCCATGAAAATAAACAAACAAGAAAATTCACGGTAATCCATCAAAACTTAAATAGTTTTTGCATTCATAAAAACAAGTTGAACGATCTCCCGCAGATAACTTAAACGAGAACCTGTCCATTTACATTGTTTATTCAAAAAGCTAGCCAAATATTAAAATTCAGAAGTTCACGTTAAATACCTACTCCGACTAATGCAAAATACTATACTAAAGAATAAAATGAAATGTAATAACATGGAATATATTTTTTTTAAGAAACAAATTAAATTAATTAAAATTGAATATTTTTTTCGATATAAAATAAAATTCGTTTGTCACGTGTTATTTTTTTCAAATCTACTATCGTTTCGAAATAATGTACCTAAGACCGTAGAAGAAATGGCTAAAGAAACACCGCGGGTATCCTCATTGTCGTTATTTTAGATTAATACTAGCTGGCCAGGCAAACGTTGTTCTGCCATTTTCTGTAATAAAAAAAATATTGAGCGTCACTTATCAGAATAAAAACTATCCTATCTCTCAAGTTGGACCAAAATGCACACAGTGTGCAAAGTTTCGTTGAAATCAGTTCAGTATTTTAGGAGTTCATCGCGGACAAACAACGTGACACGTAATTTTTATATATAAAGATTATCGCATAGTACATACAGAATGGAAAACGATAACAGGCCCATTGGTAACTGAAGAATGTTCTATAATGTACTCGAAAAAATCATCATAGCAAACCCGGTTATACTAGGCCCCACAAATTACACGTGTCTACAAGACGTATGTGGCAGCCATCGCCGTTCTCTAATACTACGCCGTCGTAATTTTTTGTCGTCAAAAACGCGTAATAGTACGCTACTGGGCACGGGCCTCTCCCCATCGACACGTTTGTTAAGAGAAAGTGAACGCAATACCATAAGTCGGACACATTCCACGCTGCTTCCCATCAGCGTTCTGGGTATTTTACGCCTGGCATAATAAACAAGATGGCTGTACCATCATCAAACCATGAAACTTATCTTTCATTTTCTATAGCCTACTCTTTCACCAATGGGAACTCACCAGCAAAAGCGTGTACCCACTGTGGTAATTTTCAAAACGTTTTAAGAAACACTAATTAATTATGATACGGGGTGATCTATTTTCTTACGCCACTCATGCGTTACGTTGACTAAAGTCACACTGTGGACAATTTTCTCGAAATTGGAACATGCGTTACGTTACGATCAATCATGTGTTACGTTGACTAAAGTCACACCGCGGAGAATTTTCTCGAAATCGGAACATGCGTTACGTTACGATAGATCATGCGTTACGTTGACTAAAGTCACACCGCGGACAATTTTCTCGAAATCGGAACATGCGTTACGTTACGATAGATCATGCGTTACGTTGACTAAAGTCACACCGCGGACAATTTTCTCGAAATCGGAACATGCGTTACGTTACGATAGATCATGCGTTACGTTGACTAAAGTCACACCGCGGACAATTTTCTCGAAATTGGAACACGGTGATGTTTTACGTAACGGTCATTAAATTGACGGCTCAGGCGGCGTTGTGGTTCACCTACATTTATCAATGACTTAAATATAATGATTTGTGCCGTTGTACCCCATTGCTGTCGATTTCTTTTTATTTTTTTATAGTTACGAATGTTCTCTGATTGATGGAGTTGGGAGAACATCTGCATTTTGATTCTTAATCGAGGTAAAATCTAGATGTCACAGGATTCACTGAAAATTAAGTAGACTTTTTTATAGGATAAAGGTGACAAACGAGCACACAGTCCAGGTAAGTGAATTCTGCGGCCTATAGGCATCTATATTTATCCTCAATTGAGAATCAAAATGTAGATGCGTTATCACCTATGAGGACTAAAATCGAATGCCTCGTTTTCAACAAAAGCGGTCTCCGGTTCTCTACAATCGCCATACGAAACACACAGTACTTCCCCGGTCGAGCCGACCCAGTCGTGCTATAAACATATAGCTGCAGCATATAGGCTCTACCACGTAAAAAGTGTATTTTTAATAAAAAAGTGATATACACTTTGTAAACACCAGGACAACACAAGCCAGTGATACCAGAATTTTGACTCCACAGAATCACTAATTCTTTAATGGGGCAATGTATTCCAGGACAGAGGGTTTTTTTCCAAACCAGTGGCAAAAGTAAAAAATGAAAATCAATAAAAATTACGTAATCTATGAATAAAATATTATTCTATAATATTTTATTCTATTTCTAATTGAGAAAAGATACAGATGTCTGTGAGTCCCAATATCTACTAAAAATTAGGGACACTTGGTGCCCGTATGTCACCGTTACTTATTTACAAAAAAATCCAGACCACTCAGTTATTAAAAGGCCCAAATTCTGATCGCAAATCAAACATGACTATTCTAAGTCATGTTTGATTTGCGATTTGCGATTAGAATTTATTATTGACGTATCAGTAGTAAATTTAGTCGCAGCATCAAAGGGTTATTGTACTCATAAAGACTGGTCTATTCTGTATTTTTTACAATACGATAGCTTTTTCCTCTTTTAATTCTTGGAAGATATAAAAAAAACGTGTTAGTTACATGTAACACATCTAGAATAAATAATTGCTACTTAACCACTGCGACATTATAATATCAATTCTCTTTTATAATCTTTTTGTTTTTAAAAAAAGTTATCTTAACACTACCTACACTAGAATTTCCTGTATCGTGGAGGCAGTTTACAAACATAAATTGCACAAGGACAAATATCCAGACCCGGAACAATTATTTGTAGGCTATACAAATACTTAATAATTTCTTATGTTTACGCGAAGACTACACATTAAATGAAACTAATTTTTACGGATTTTACGCGTTTAATTAAACTTTTTAATTCCCGACATTTCGGGTGCTTTACAGCAGCCATGGTCACGGGGGGGGGGGGGGGGGGACTGAGGTGTTTGACGTCCCGATGTCATAGTTAGCCCGGCTTAACCTTCAGTTTTTTATAATTTTAATATTCAAGAACTGAAGGTAGCCGGGCTAACTATGCCATCGGGACGTCAAATACCTCAGTCCCCCACGTGACCCAGCACCCGAAACGTAGGGAATTAAAAAGTTAAACTCGAAAAAATCTTAGTTTTATTTAATACAAATACTTGTTTGTCCAGGAACCCGCGAATTCTCTAAAGATTTTTTACGAAAGTAAAAAAACAAATAATTGGTATAAATATATTATTATAATATAATTCTACTGTTTTTAGCCGAATTCAAAAAAGATGGAGACTTAATTCGACTATGTATATGCTTTTTTGTATTTATGTTGTTACGTGATATCTTTATCAACTGTGAACCGATTTTAATAATTTTTTTCGATGAAGCTGTAAGTTAGATGAAGCTGTAATGTCAGATGAAGCTGTAAGTCAGACGAAGCTGAATGTCATATGAATCTGTAAGTCAGATGAAGCTGTAAGTCAAATGAAGCTATGATGTCAGATGAAGCTGTAAGTCAGATGAAGCTGTAATACCAGATGAAGCTGTAAGTCAGATGAAGCTGTAATACCAGATGAAGCTGTAAGTCAGATGAAGCTGTAAGTCAGATGAAGTTGTAAGTCAGATGAAACTGTAATGTCAGATGAAGCTGTCAGAGCCGCATAGACTAACAGCGCACATCACAGAAAATAGATGAAAAAATGATTATTTTATATTAAATTGATTACTTATTCTTTAGGGGTGATCCCATATATATTTAGAGAAAAAAGAGTCCTTGGTCCACTCAAGAAGGTTAGGAAATTAAACTTTTAATAAAAAGTCAAATACAAACTTCAAGCAATTAAAATAATCAAATAATTTCACACAATGTAGTCGGGGCTTTAGTGTTTCTAAACACTTTGTCTCATCACTTCTTCTCAGAATTTCTCCTTTTCTTGGCACTAGTTTTCTTTATCACATCACTACTAGGTAATAAGACTCCTTCCGCCTAGGCATCCGTCTGGTCGGTACCACCCTGTTATATATTTCTGCCGGCAAAAAGCAATGCTTGCACTGCTGCATATCAGTCTGAAGACTACACAGAGCCAGTGTAGTTACAAGCTGTAAGGCATTCCATCTTAGTCCTCGAAAGTACAACGCATCTTTTACCTTTTTTGTTTGAAGTAGGTCAGTTGGCAGTAGGTCTTAATGGACTGCTGTAGCCACTTAACATCTGTGCGGCCATCTGCTGTAAGTTCATTTGTCACTTCAATTTTATAAACAAAAATCACCAATAGCATGTTCTATGCTTTTGTTACGGGGGCCGCCGCCCCGTCACCCCTTCATACCCCGTTGCGCCCCGCGCACCCCGCACACCGCCCGAAAATCACGTGATGCCGCCGACCAATCAGCGCGCGGCACACCTTATAATACCACTCACGTGTCGAGACACACTTTTTGGAAATATAAGAAGGGCGTTTTGGGCTGTGAGCTGTTCAATTTCGGCAGCGGCACTACGAGATACAACATCAAGAAAGAATACTCCATTGAAGACTCCCATCTGTACATAATTGATTAACCACTGCCGCTTGTAAATAGTCAGAATATATAATCGTCTACAGTACCATCTTATCTTCAACCGTCCCTAGTATAGTTTACCCTACGTAGTAAAATCAGTCATAGTACACAATAAATTAAATACAGTTCACTGCAGTTCCCTACACTATTAATAGAAAATGAAAATAGTGGAAAAACTCTTAGAACAAAGTTATGTATAAACTCGTACATATGTAGTATACTGACCTTTCCATCAAGGACTGTTTGCTCCGGTAGCCCTTCTCCCTGATACTCAATATTATTGGCCTGTGAGCCATAGTTGGACTGCGCATGCGCAACAGCCAACATACACGTCACTATACACCAAAGCAGCGCCATCTTTATCTGAAACAAGAAAAAGTAAAATGAGTTGTGGCTAAATTATATGAAGTGTGGAAGGACTAAGTAGTACAATTAAACTTTTATGTTTCAAAGAAAGAAAATGCATTTATATGTCAGAAATATACACAAATTAAATTAAAATACTAGCACGACTTCGTGCTAGTATTTTAATTACTTATAGCCTGTCATTAAAACAACGTACTTCGTGTTCCATTTTTTTCCTGATGAGTGACAATGCGTTTGTGTTTAAATTCTTAATGAAAAATAAATGTGCATGTATTCTCTTACGTGGTAGAGCCACGCTGCAACTATATTATGGTTGTAGTATCAATAGGTTGGCTCGACCGGGGTAAGACCACGCTGTCACAGAATACCAGCGTAAAATAGCAGCTTAATGCTGCTGTATTTCGTATGGTGAGTATAGAGAACTGGAGACCCTTTTTACTGGAAACGAGGCATTCCAACTTAGTCCTCGGGGGGGACAATGCATGTGTATTTTGATTGTTAATTGAGGATAAATGTAGATGTCTATGGGCCACAGCACCCACTTACCATCAGATGGACTGTGTGCTCGTTTACCACCATTATTCTATAAAGAAAATGCCAAAGCACTCACTAATTGTCAAGTAGTTTGTGTGATTCTTTGTCAAGCTTAATCGTTATATCCTTCTGTCTTTATTTTTCTTTTTCTTTTCTTAACTTGTAACCACCTAAACCATGTAACATAATAACGAAAGTTACATACAATTATACGAAGGGAAAAGCTTTTATACGATGGGTTTAGCTGCGTTCTCGCAATACATAACATGCAAATTCCTTCGGAAGCTGCTTGCATAAGCACAATCAACACTATTCGACGGCCCCATGGCGCAGTGGCTTGGCATTAAGTTACGGTAAGTTACACACGGAACAAGTATTTGTATGTCCTATAAATAATTGTTTCGGGTCTGGATGTTTGTCTTTGTGCAATTTATGTTAGTAAACTGGCTCCACGATACAGAAGAAAATCCTAGTGTATGAATAGCGTTTTAATAATAAAGAGAAAGAAAGAGACAAATCTTGCAGGGAAGACAAGTGAATGTCTCTGTATTTACATTGTCACTTATGATGCAATGATATATACTATAAAGATATCATCATAACCACACCCGTAGGTATTACAAGAGGTGACATATTGAAAAGCCTAGAAAATCTTGTGGCCTCCAATAGACGGCTTTGAATCTAGTATAGTCGTTCAATAACTTGTAGGTAAGACAAGTAAATGGTGCACTCTTTAACAGAATTAGATATACCGTTACCGTTGCAGCCTATTAAGGTCCACTGCTGAACATAGGCCTCCCCATAAATTAACTTATAGGGGTGATTGCCATTGATGCCACGCGTGGCTTGGCTTGGTTATTAGGCCTGAATTCCTCCTACGCTGACGTCGGTTGCGTACGGTTGGTCGCGTTCAGCGTGCAGCAAACTACGCGCCGCTGTCGTCAGCGTCGCAGTGTGGGACTATATAGAACATTAGTAAGCGCGACCGACGTACGCGACCGACGTCAGCGTAGGAGGAATTCAAGCCTAGGAAGACACTACTGCCCACCTCCTGATTTGTTTACCTCTGTCGCCTCTTACGACACCCACGGTATGATATGGGGTAGTGGATTTTCTTACACCGGCACTACATGGTAAATTATTATACTACAATTAGCTATACGATAAATATACATCTACCGTCATCACTAGTCCATATATTTCCGTGGGTGTAGTGTTGGCGACTTTTTAAAAGGTCAAGAAGAATTTTTGGCCACCGATAGATGGCGGTGCAACCATATCGAATTTATACCAGGTATAAAATCCCCAGACCAGCGGCGACAGTAAGCAGTGTCAAATTTGCTAGATCTCTGCTACTATGCTCGTCAATCCAACTAACCAGCGGTCTAATTTTGTGGATAATTTTCTCGATTATGGAGTTTTTTTCGAATGATGGTCTATTTACGGATAAAAGAGGATGATACAACGGAGTTAAGACCTTTCGTAATAAGTTGCGAATGCTACTACCTCTAAGGTTCCAGAGGGAGTTAGGCAATTGGGTCATTGGTAAAATCTATATAAATGTTTACTGATTTTGATGAAATTTTTGTGTATGTTATAATGGATCCTTAGATGGTTTAGATTCACATTTGCACCCGCCAGGTGGCACTGTTGTCAAGATCTAGAAAACACCCGTGCGAAGGCTGGGCGCATCGCTGGTAAAACAAAATCCAATATTCTTGTTAATTACACAACACTCTTGTTAATGATTCCTTCTCGTTTATTATTTGTCTATTATATTATTATTAATTTTTTTTAGATTTGTAAAATGTCCAAATAGGTGTTGGTGTTATTCTACATAGTTGCTTTGGCAGTTCTTTTTCAGTTCCGAGGAACTTCACAAGGGAACAGACGTGGGTTGTAAAAAAAATGATAAACAAACTAAATTTAGATGTATTATGTCGACAGTAAAATATATAAATGTTCTTCATTTCATTTATTTCCACAAACAGAATTATTATAAGTATCAATGGCACGAGAAACTCGGTTAGTGTCCCCGAGACCCGAGAGTCGACTCGCTACGGAAAAGCGTCCGGTTTTTACTGCGTTTCTATACACTTTATATAGTTTCACTTCACCGAAGATTGTTTACAATAGGTAACTGTATACGATACTGGATATCTAAACAAGTTTTCATATTATCGACTTGTATCTAAATGCATTTAAACAATAATTTATTAAATGGAAGACAATCTTAATTAACTCCATATTATGATTGTATATAAAAATTTTATATATTATTTAACAATTTCATGATCTCGCAGTACTACATCTTAACTAAAATTAATGTTTTATTTATAACCATAATAAAAATACATCTTAATTGTTCTTAGTCTAATATAGTTCTTAAGTCTGGGACATACGACGCACATACACTCAACACAAATATGGACATTGGTGTCAGTGACTCTAAACGAGACTAATATTCTTACGTAAATCGATCTAGATAGTTTAGTGTCTAATGTTGACGTGCAAACCTTATAATTGTAGACGCCTTAATACGTGCCTTATTACATCACATATGAGAGTATAATAATCGACAGATAATTATTTGAAAAAAGAACAATTAGTGTACTTCTTTAATTGGGATATAGCTCATAGTATAGAAACCCCTTTCCTTCTGCATTTTGAGTATTTGCAAACTTCCTAATATGAGGAAAGCAAAAGCACTAGCCATATATGAGAATAGAGCCATCACCATTGTTTACCTCGGCCTTTGTGTGCGGCCTTAAATGTCAAAGAGACGATAGTGAATAACTCTAGATAATAGGTGTCTTTTAGCTTGACGAATTCACTCGTAAACATGAAGAATATGATGCTGTAGATATTTTTTATAGATTTAGGATGACAAACGAGCACACAGTCCAGTTGATGGTTATTGGGTGCTGTGATCTTCTATTAAGAATCAAAATGCAGACGCATTGTCACTCTTGAGGACTAATATGGAATTCCCTCATTTCCAGTGAAATGGTTCTCCGGTAGGGCTCTCTATACGAAACACAGCAGCATTAAGCTGCTATTTTACGCTGGTATGTATGGCTCTCACAGAGAGCGTGGTCCTTCCCCGGTCGAGCCGACCCATTCGTGCTACAACCATAATGTAGCTGCAGCGAGGCTCTACCACGTTAAAAAAACCTTTAATCCCGGGTAGGAACGGATCGGGCCAATGACGACAGATGGCAGAATAACTATGGCCAAGCGTGTAATACCGAGACTAGCTACAGAGAGCCACATCAAAGTTACGAGACATCATGTACTGCGATCATCTTCAATCTGCTCACCAAACGTGGTGATTAAGGCATATTCACCCTACAAGAGAGATCCACAGAGGGCCGTTACGGGCTGATGTAAAATAAAAAAATTAGGACACCAGCTGGAAAATATTTAGATAATTTTAATATACTTCTTGGCTTATTACAATGTCCCTGTGATGCATATTATCTATAGATATTTAAGTTTGAAACATGCGGCTGGCGAATTTACACAACTCATATGCAATTGCATTATACCGCTCAGAATAAATACAAAATAAAAATGGTCATTTTTATAACAACATTTTGAGTCATTATAAAAATGACCGGCCGGAAAAAACCGGGTCAATTACGAGCTTCTCCTCACTTTTTTGGTGTTCCGTACATATCATGACCAATTTTTAGACGTGGTAGAGCCATGCTGCAGCTATAGTAGTAGTATAGTTGTAGCACGAATGGGTGGGCTCGACCGGGGAAGGACCATGCTCTCCCAGAATACCAGTGTAAAATAGCAGCTTAACACTGCTGTGTTTCTTAGGTGAGTGTAGAAAACCGGATACCCTTTTTACTGGAAAAGAGACTTTCCATCATGGTCCTCACGGGTGACAACGCATCTGCATTTTAATTCGTAATCGAGGATAGATTTAAATGTCTATGGGTCACAGCAACCACTTACCATCAGATGGACTATGTGCTCGTTTGTCACCCTATCCTATAAAAAAATTAAAGTTACTCTAAAAAAAATTTGTTTGTTTTAGTGACAGCTTACAAACTAAATTATAAGACGGTTTTCAACATAGTATGTATGAAGTCGTAAGCGCGGCTGCTGATTATGCTGAGTCACGGGTTGGAATCATAGGTTGGGCCAGAGGCAGTCATTGAGTTTTTGTGTTAGGAAGGTTTTTAGAATCAAGAAGATTGCGCTTTTCTTTTCCGTTCCTTGGAAATTACAACGTACATTATATTCTGTTACATAACGAATGCTTTGCAGAATTATATATTTGTACGATACTCAATGTACTCCAGACAATGACACCCCATATGCTAGGTTAAGAAAAATTTATTCGGTTACTTTACATGTGTATAGAATCCTCCCCACCACTGACTTTGCACCAAATATTCTAATTTCATGTTCGTAACTCATTCTGTCTTCGGGCTACAAATCCA